TCATGGCATTTGATTGAGCCTTAGAATCAGAATCTGTTTCTCCCAACTTGTCTAGGCTGCCGATATTTCTTTTTCCTTTTGTGGTTCTTTGAGTTGAGCTGCTGTATGAAATCCTTATCCCAAGTTATTGTTTTCTTTTCCAACTTTTACCTTTTCGACTCTTCATTGGAAGAGAAGATTGGCTTATGTCTTTTGAGGTTAAGATAATCTGCAAGTCTTTATTATTGTTTTCTCTGGTCAGCAAGCTATTTTGTGTTTCATTGCTGATGACTGATTTGATTGAGTTGATGGTTGTGGATGAACCGTTGTTAGGGTGAGAGGGTCATCATCTTCTTTATTTAGGGTAAAAGGATTGGTTCTTGTGAACTGAATGGGTGGTGGAGGGTTTGTTAGTTTATATAGAGGTAGATGAGGGGAGAAATCTGAATTAGGTACTAATTTGTAATTAAAAATATGTGAAAATCCCCTCTATATATAATTTCAGAATGCGCTGAGTCAACGTGGCAAACTCTCATGCTTCGGAATCCTATTTGGCAAAAAACCATGCTTTTGAGTTAGGTTTGGATATAAATTAATATTTTTTATCACACTAAATCCATAATTGATAATTTGTCTTCTTTACTTCTACAATTAGTTACCATAAACTATTTTATATTTTATTTAAGTACATTACCATATATCACATTTCATTTTCTTATATAATTCATTCATTAGTTTTTATAAATGTTTCTTCTTCTTATTTAAGATTTTATAACTTTTTTGTTTGTATTTTATTTTTCATATATGATATATCAAATTAACCATCTTTTAATGATTTTCTAATTGACATCTATATTATATATATATAATACAAAACAGTAATATATATCCTTATAAATAAAATTTTAAATTTATTTATCAAACTAAATTAAATTATATCAAATAAAACTCTAAATTATATTATAAAGTAATAGAAATTGGTATGTATGCTTTTAAAAATGATATTTACTTCCAGTCTAATTGGTCTGTTGTCAATCTAATAAAAATAAATAATTATTTATCTAAATTCTAAAATTACATATAAAGTTAAAAAATTGTGAAACACGACTGATACGACACTTGATGTATTAGGCATCTAATTAAGTAAAAAAATTAATTTATTTTGCTTAATATTAAAGAAACATATTCTACACTTATGCATATACATATCACCATATTATTTCTATTTATTTAAGATATATATTTTTGTACTTATGTAATAGTAAATAATATCTATATTTTTATATGATATAAGTAAAAAAATTCAACACGAGTTAATATTTTCATTTAATGTACGGGTGTAATTTGAAAATTTAATTAAAACTCAAAGTAATATTTTATATAAAATTAAATTATTTAAGTTTTTAAAAAATAAAAAATTTAATATTTTTTCCAAAAACTTTTTAATTCAACACTCGTGTAATACACGGGTACTGTACTAGTAAGAGTTTATTAGGGAGTTCATTTTTTTACAAAATCATTCGTCATTTTATAATAGTATTAAAATCATTCGTTCTTTTATAATAGTACAGATATAGAGAGATTATACTCTTCAATAAAAAGCAACTTAACGATTCTTTGAAGTCCACCCATATATTGTACACTACAATGAGGCAACTTAGCCATTTATTTTTTCAAATAAAAATGCATATTTATGTAATGAAAGATCAATACTTTTATATATATTATTTTTTAAAGCACGACGTTACGTGTAAACATATGTATATCAATTGAAAAAAAAATATATTTGTCTAATAGCTAAGCCAACTTGAAGAAACCTTACTGGTTAGTGAATGTCTTGGGAACTTTAATGATGAGTTAGCTCCTGCATGACCATTTCGCCAGTATTTCCAGGGGAAAGCACATTAACTTATAACTTCGTCACTTTTCACTTAATTTAACGCGATTTGATTATGTTGGTGTTTATAGATGCAGTATACAAGAATTTCCAGATGTTAGTAATCAAAGCACAACTATACACCAGAAGAAAATGAAAACAAAAAAGAACTGGGTATGATAAATATGATTTTTCAGGGCAAATGCTCTTATTCAGAAACTGTATATACATGTACGGTGAGGTTTTGCACAGTAAATACATGAAAGAGCTTTTAATCACCTCATGCTTCTTCAATTGTACAATGCATTCTTATTGTTTCATTAAAAGGTTTAAATATCACTTACTGCACAACAATTTGTTTCCGAGGCTGCATTCTTCATAACCATTGTAAAATGGATCTTTTGCTAGTATTTTACGACAGAAGCTGAACAGCTGCGATGGCTGGTATTTTTTCTCGAAGTTTTTGAGTAACGGCAACGCGTACAGTCATCACACCAGCTGCGGGTCCACTAATCCGTACTTTGACTATTGGCAACTCAATCTCTACGAGCTCTAAATCCCCACCAGCTGCTCCAACTAGAAAAGGCCTAATTTCTTCAAGAACCTAAACGAGTAAGAATTGTGTCAGGATAAAAGCCTTTTTCTACAATGAATAACATGCTAACCATATATTTGAACAAAAACATATCAAGCATTAATGCTGCTTAAAAAATGACATAACGGGGAATGATTAATCAGAACTATGATGCCAAGAGTGTACATGATGGGAGATAAAATTAGTACCTATTATGAGCAACGTGATTCAAATATGAACAAACTAAGGCTATGTTTAAATAAGCTAGCTTATAGCTTATTTGGTTAGATTATAAGCTTCTTATATTTAAATAAGCTTCGTTTAGTAGGACGAGCTTATTTAAAAAGCTCGAACTTATCTCATAAGCTTCTTTGGTTAGCTTTTCACATAAGCTCGTTGAAATTTTTATTTCAGCTAGCTTATCAGCTAATTTTATCAAACACTTTTATCATATAAGCTAGCTTTTCAGCTATAAGCATAAGCTCGAAAGTTACTAATAAGCTATAAGCTAGCTTATCAGCTAATTTTACCAAACATACCCTAAACAATTTAGGTCGTTCTGAGTTGACAATTGCACTGTAATGTGATATTGGTGCTTTGGACGTTACTATAGCTTAGCAACACTAACTCACTGGTGCTAGTGTGATGAGAGAGAACATAGCCGATGTATAAAGAAAGGTAAAAGCTCATTCGGGGTTAATATCACCTAAATTTTCAATACTCATTACTATGATACTACACAAGGCCATTCCATCCATCTATATTGGCATTCTAACTATTTGAAACAAAGAAAGAAATTAGAAAAAGAAAAAGTTCTAAATTTGAAACTTAACAAAGTAGACAGTGAAACTGTATTAGTATAAAGAAGAAAATTATTTCTCCTTAAATTTATAAGCCCAAACCAGCACAAAATACCACGTAAAAGGTAGTAAGCGGGATGTCTTAACCACAAAGAAGGTATGCTGCGTGATGATAACGAACCAACGAAACTGGTGGAATCATATAACTAGTGGTATCCAAACTTATCTGTTGCTTCGTTTTACATAGATACGTATCAAATTAAGAGATTAGGCTTGTGGAATATCAAAGAAAGAATGGAAGAAAAACGGACAAAACGCCTAAGAGAAAATCCCAGAACCTTCTGCCATCATACGAAACATGTGAACGACCCCGAACAAGTAAAATCTTAATAAATTGAACTTAATTTTTTCAACCTTGCATGTCAATTTATAAGCTCTAAGAAGAACCTAAAACAGGAAAGTAGAAATACAGTCAGCACATAAGACAACATACTGACATAGTGTTAGACCAATAATCAACTGTTTTTCACTCTACTTTGCTATGCCAGTGAAACTTGCCAACTCTTCTTTCTCATGGCTAAATAGTAAATACAATTGAAACCTTGCCATCCACATCCCATACAATACTTCAGAAAATTCTAGTTCTCTTCTAACTCTCGTCTTTTTAAATTTCCCTACCATTTTATTGAATCATTCAGGCTACATGTGAATATGGGCATAACATATTTATCCAGTATACAGCAGATTCATTTTGAAGGAACAGGATACTAGCCAAGAATAGAGACGGTGAAGAATTAACTCTGAGATTATACATCAAATATCAACATGATATAACTACTATGGTGAAGTAAAATAAATATATAAACACATGAAGTAGAGTATGTCTTCAGATATCTAAACACGGAAAGAAAAGTGTTGAAAAGTATATTTTACCTTCTCAATGTTATCTTCATTTAGCTCAAGGCCTGTCTCCTCATCTGGTATTGCTTCAACAGCAACAATTTCAGGGATCTTTTCCATTAGACGACGTTCAATACCCATTTTCATTGTCATAGTAGAACTAGGACATGAGCCACATGCACCTTGTAATTTCAATCTGACGATATCTCCATCGATTTCGTGCAACGCAACGTTACCCCCATCTGCCATTAGATAAGGCCGAACCTCATCCAATACGCTCTCGACATTTTCCTCTGTGAGAACAGATGAATCAGGTGTGACAACAGCAGCCCTTATCCCTGCAAAAATGGTATGCACATCATTTTTAGATATAAAAACAAAATGAGCAACTCCAAAATGACATAAAATTTATAAAGTGAAGCTAATTATTGAGTCATGCATTTCTCAAACAATATCCCAACTCAAAACAGACCTAAAAAACGAAAAGAAAGAAACTTCAAGGATGAAAAATACGAATAATCTGAAAATCATCCCAGGATTAGCATCCCACTCTCAGTGATAAAAGATTCTAAACAATTCAATAATATTCCCATCCTTCCATAGTCAATTATTTAGCTGCTTATTAACAAGTTCTATCATTTACCCGCATCCTTCCATAGTCAATTCAAATATGAATCAAAACAATCACCTGGAATTCGAGAAGCGTAGCGCAAACTGTACACATGTTGCGATGGGAGCATCCGCCCCTGATTGAGTCTCCCAGAAATCGTAATCCGAGGGGCGAAAAATCTCGAAACCTGTTACAGCACACGTTTTAAAGATTACAGTTCAGGAAAAATGAAGGTTGCGAACGCCAAACCCACACAAACACAGACAGTGGAAAAAAGATGCAATCGATCCTGAATACAGATATGAAAAGCACCTTTTGTGGAGGAGAGCGGCGGTACAGAGAGACAGCGGAGGAGGATGAAGAAGAGCAGGACGGCTCTAGAGTTTGGTGGAAGCCGCAACCGTATGTATATGGCGGAGAGCTAACTGCCATGGCTGCGTGCATCGCCGCGTCGATTTGCTGTGGGAGTTTGCGATGAATACAGTTGGAATTAGGGAAAAATGTTTCTGGTCAGTTTTTACTTTTTCTTCTACGAATGCTTTCTATTTCACTATTTGGTTGGCACATGACACATCTAAATATCTAATTTTATGTGGAATGAAAAATTTTTAAAAAGTGTTTTCCTATGTATTATATATTTAGAAGTCATTCTAAATAATTTCTATCCTATAATATATTATTTATTTAATTTATTTTTATTCTATAATCAATTATAATTTTACACGTTACAAATTATATTACAATTAATACTAGCTATTGGAGACATAATTTTTCAATTTCTTTTGAAAATAACTACAGTTAAACCAAAGCATATGTAAAAATAAACATTTATTAATATCTTTGTCCGTGTACGTCCGAGAGTGTAGTTGAACAGACATTTGAACAGCATCCACGCCAAAAAAAAATTATCAGTAAATAACAATGGCGAAGAAGAGACCTTCCTTCTCTTTCCTCACCTCTCCTGTCTCTCTCATCATCCCCCGCGGAGACGCTTTTCTATACCTTTTCGCCGTCCTCTCCATCTTCTCTCTCCTCCTCCACCACGTCTCCGCCGCCTCCCGTCCCGACTTCGAGGGCTTCGACGCCGATGAAGATGACGATTTTGCCCTCGGGGCCGGCCTCAGAGACGACGATGACGCCCCTCCCGTTCGCGCCACGCCGCCCCCAATCTCTCTCTCCACTTCCACCCCCGAGTCCCACCACGGCCCCCCCGATTCCGATCAGTCTCAGAACAAATCCTCGTCGAGTGATCAGAACCCTAAGCCCGCATCCACATCGGCGTTTGATTACTGGGATGAGGATGAGTTTGAAGGCATCCCTCAGGACCTGATATCGCATCCCGAGAATCAGGCGACTCCGGAATCTGATCAAGCTGGGTCCAAACCCAATTCGGCCTCCCGTGATTCTGCCGGAGACCCTAAATCTGATGTGAAAGCTCCGAAGAAGATCAGTCTTATTGGGTTGAAATCGTGTGTGTTTCCTTCTTGATCATGTTCACTATTAACTATTTCACGGGGAAAAGGGAGAATGAGAACCTGGCCTTGGCGTGGGCCAGCAAATTTGCGACCAAGGACTCGATTTTTTATAAGAACTTCAGCTTGTTGGGGGTAGGGGAGACCGATGATTCTCCATTGCTGTTGCAGGAAGGAAAGAACGTGTTCAAGTTCTACGCGAGCGGTCGGAGGTTTTGTTCGGGGTTGGTGGCAACAATGGAGCTGAAGAGCAGGCACGATTTGATCTCGAGATTGTACAATATGGTGGTCCCCTGTAAGGACGAAATCACATTCGAGGTCTACATGAATGATGATGCAATGGATCATGTTGTGTTTGCAATGGCAAGAAAGAAGCTGGCAAAGACAATGCAGAAGGAGATGAGGGATCTGCAGAGGTTTGCAGGATTGGTGAATCCTCCGAATGGGAGGAAATGGGTGACGGATGAGCTGCAGGTAGTGTCAGAGTCAAAGGAGGTTGCTGGGGATTTGATCACTGATGTGGTGCTTGATCAGGTACGAGTTTATGATTTTTGTTCCTCTCTTGTTGAATTGCAGTTTGTGCAAGTTGCCTTTTATGTTCTTTAGTTTTCAGGTTTTTGTTACGAATTAAGTATGTTTCTCTTATGTTTTTAAAACTAAATTTAGCTGTTAAGCTTCCTTGTTACTGATATGGTTTTTCAGGATGGCTTGTGCAGCAGAATTGTTTACCATTTTAGTGTTTAGCTTGCTGTGGAGGATTAAATAAGCCATTTGTGGGCTTTGTCTTGTGGTGGTACAAAATGGGTGCGAGAGGGATGGGGGTTACTTTTTGTTTTAAGTTGAAATTGATCTGGATAATTGAAGAAAACCGGATTTCATGGAGTATCATCCTGTAGGAAGTTTAACTAGTTCAAGAAAAAGAGGAATGGAAAAAGTAGCATGGTTCTTAAAATAAAAATCTGGTCATCATTTGAACTTTCTAATTATCTGGCATTCAAGTATTATTTTGTGGATAGGTGTGTACCTGGTCTTTTCATATAGTAAGAGACTTAAGGTCCAGGATAATAGCTTGTCCTTGCAGGTCTTCTTCGTAAGATATCTAATCAATGGAACTTTGTGAAAGAACTAAACCTTTATTATATTTTTGAAAAGGATGTACTTGTTCTAATTGGGAGGATTATCTTAGTGAGATTAAGATTTTAAATAGTATAACCTATTGAAGTATACTAACAAGTGGCTTTGTTTAGCTTGATACCAATCAGAATAACATGGGAGTATTACTCGATGTGACTTGTCTTAATTTTTTTGCCCGTTGTTAATTCTTATCAAGAGTTTAAGTACTGAGGTTTTGTTATTTACCTTTCGTTTGGTGTGATGGGGTGGGTATCGGCCGAAGTAGCCGTAAGTTCGCCTTTTGTGTGAGCGAGCATTGTGGATTGATGTCGGTGGGTGACAGGAAGTGTCTAAACTTATTAATTACAATGGAAAGTGGAAACATGCAGCAGTCTAGAGTACTATGTGAATGTTGAGTATGCAAAAACAATCAAAAGTGCTCTTGTTTCTTTTCTCAGTTTAAAGGAAAAATAGTTTAGGTTGCTAAGTCCCAGATGTGTCACATTCAATATGCAGAAAATATTATGTACATTTTTCCCATATCCATCTCTAGTTTGATCTAATTATTTGCATCTCATTCTTTGCATGATGATGTTCTTACTTTGCATTTTGAAAAAGAATGAGATGTTCTTTCTTTGCATTTTGAAAAAGAATGAGATGTTCTTTCTTTGCATTTTGATGTGTCATAGACATTGCTATCACTCGCAATATTTTCTGTCATTCTTGTACGGTTGTACCATTTATTTTAATTTGGAGAACGTTGTCATACATTCTACCTTTGCTTGGAAAATGTGATCTTCGTTTGATTCCCCCATTTCTTGTCATTAATATAATCTTCTCCAAATTTATGAAGGTTTTTGGTGAGAAAGTTTTTGACAAATTCGGAAAGGGCTTCATCTCAATGCACATTTCTGATCAACACGTTGGCTCAGCCAAAAAGATGCTGATGTTCAAGTTTGCTCTTCCTGATGCTAATAACATGGCAGACATGACTCGTTTGGTTGCTCTTGTGCCTTATTACATTGACCTGATTGGAAGATACAAGCTCAGCTCGCATGTAAGCAGCATATGTTGTTGGATGATTTAAAATTACCTTGAGGTTTCAGCTAACCATTAATTACTGAAAAAACAATATATCCTACAAAATTACATAATATTTCCTCATTTCAATTCATAAAATATAAATAAAACTGAAGCAGCTGTGAGGGATCTATT